GAAGTGGAAATTACAGTTTAATTTACACTTGCACCGGATCAGTTCTCAAACTGAGCCAGGTTCCTCTCGTTTTGTGTAGTCGATACATTAGTTCCAACTTGTAATAACTTCAAGCATTACTTGTAATAATATAATTTTACATTAGCTTGACTAGACTCCACACTCTTTATAGCCCTTCCATCAACTTAGGCACATTTTTTAGTAAGTTTCGCGAAGCTAACTTTACTTTCTTTCTTTTCTTTCTCACTGAATTTTCATCGGTCCATTTGGCTGCTCAACGGTGCTTTGGTGAAGTCATCGCTATGTAGGGTGTAGATGACAAGAAATTCATTTTCTGGCTTGAGGTCGTGACATTAAAACATTTCTTCAGGCTTGTGTTTAAGACTCATAACTCAACTGGTTAATAACCCAATGATTTAGATCACTCCAAAACTACTGGGAAAACGGCCCAACACCTACACGCTGACGAAGGCATTGGCTGAGGTGACGTTTGTTTATTCATTCGAAATGATCTGTCAATCATTCATTTTTTGTTCTGTCACTGTAAGAACACTCAAAGTATACGTTTTTGTGGTGCATCTGTATACACAAAGATTAACAGCCTCTTTGTTCGATACTCTGCTAATCCAAACGACGAACAAAATTCACTCGGCCCAGGAAGTTATGCAGGCGTGGGTCATGAGTTCCGTGGTGATAGCATGTTCGTTGAAGCGCTGTGTTAGAGGCCATCGTTTTAAAGCTCTCTAATAAGTACAAACGGAACTTAAGTAGCCATAACGTTCGGTTCAAAAGGAGGACGTAATCATGCGTTCAGATGGACTCCAAGAACTCCCTGTTCGAGCTACTGGAGGGAAGCCGTTAGAAGATCCCTATGATTCCCGAATTTTTTCTGCAGATATGACCTTATTTTTTATGGGCTTATTATGATCAAGAAACGTATGGGACAAGGTGACAGCGTGTTGTACATCTAGGCGATTAGAATTTTGAAACCATTACAATACGGGTTTTTCAACAACTTTGACAAAGAACCGCAATGTAAGGGTTGTGATTCTATAGCATGGCCCGTATTATGAATCCGCTAAATAGTTGGTAACTATGTACTAGTCAAGATTCCTACAAATATCAATAAAAGCTCGCAAAACTCTTCTCATTTTTATTCCTGTTATTTCAGACACAACTTGTTGAAGACGCGAAACAACTTCCGGTTATCATTATCCGCCCATCGATAGTTGGTGCTATGTGGAAAGATCCACTCCCTGGTTGGACAGACAACATCAACGGACCAACTGGTATTTTTGCAGCGGTACGTCTATAATCCACTTAATGCTTGAACTCACCAGCCTACGTGATTGATTGATGTAAGACATACATGAAAAAATAGGAAAAGGACCGTTGGTTGGACTTTGTTTGACCACCTCCGATAAAAGTTCTCGCAACACGTGCTAAACGATGTATGCTTTCTAAATGGGGCTGAACTTTGCCCACAGATATAATTTCGGAAGTAGTCAAAGCTGTCAATCAACTATATACCGAATACCGTATACTATCTACTGCACCATGCAATATGTATGATGCGTAACCCAGCAAAGTCGTTGCAGGTCGGGAAAGGAGTATTGACCAACATGTGTGGAAGTGAAAGCTCAAAGGCGGACATCATACCCGTGGACATTGTCGCCAACATGATCATCGTTGCTGCCGCTCACCGGGCCACAACTATGTGAGCTTCCTCTTTCAGAAAACTGCCGATTCTGCCCTTCCTAATTTAACTGGTGACAGAAATGCAACACACTGACATTTTTCGTTCAGACCCTAAGTCCCCGGCGGCTGAAATAAAGCCATGACCGTTCTAAAATTAATAGCTGATGAGAATTTAGCGTATTTCACAAAAGCCAAGCAACCCTAGAGTTGCGCTGAAGGCACTGTTCGCGATGTTCGCGATAATCAGGAGGCATCTAGCTTAAGTGAATTAATGGAAGTTATAAAGCGGGACTGCGTAAAAATGGTGAGGAAAAGCTGTATTGGGCGGATTTAAAGAAACATAAGCATCCGAAAAAGTAGGAAGGAAGAGTACGAGATTCTGTGTCTGTAACCGTCTAGGTGTCTCTCACGCAAGCGCGCGATTTGCTGGCGTCCTAAAACTTTATTGTAGACGGTGCAGCATACAATCACAATTGTTTTAGGGTATCTGGTTTCAGACGACTAATGCCAATACCCTAATCACGCCTAAAAACGCAACTTTTTCGAGCCTTGGCTAACGGATGGCCTTATTGCCCCTGAGCCCCAATAATGTGGTGTGATTAATCATAGTTACTTTCAGGTATGAAACTATACCGGTGATGCACTGTGCATCTGGGGACCTCAACGCTTTGAGATGGGAGAAAGTCGTTAACTTCCTGGAACAGTTCTATCATGAGGTACATTATAAGCACCAGTCTCCGTCATCGTGTGAGAAACGAAACTATTAGGTTGATGCATGATTACTGCGGATTCTAACAAAAACGTGTTCGAATAACCCCTCCGTAACATATCCACTGTCTACGTCGAGCAGTGCTTCCCACTTGCTAGGCAGTTGGATTCCACAGGCGAAGAAGTACCACATTAATTAACACATTTTATACGGATAACAAGTCCTACTCCAGATATAAATATTACACTATAGAGGATCTTCTTTATGCTATAGATTACTTACTCTCTAATAGTTACTGCAGATTTGCGGAATATTTATTTATACAAAAAGTAGGTGTTCCACAAGGCGGTAATGCCAGTCCGTTACTCGCAGACCTTACATTGTCCTTATTCGAATATGAGAATTCACTACAAAGGCTTAATATATTAAACCCCAAACTAATACCATTTAGATAGTATATGGATGATCTGCTTATTATCCATAACTCAGACACTGACACAATTTTACAAGAGCTTGGGCAGGTTTATAAAAATACTCTTGCCTTAGATATGACCCATAAAGTGAACACAGGTGTAATTATTTGGACTTACAAATATTTATAGAACAAGGAAAAATTTGTACCAGGATGTATAACAAGACAGATAGCTTTGGATTCCCAGTTAAACGTTTCCCACACTACACTACCAACGTTTCTAAGGGTATTAAAAATAGCACAATGTGTTCCGAAATATTGAGAACCGCTAGGACATGTACATACAAGGAAGGTTTTTTGGACAGGCTTAGGTATACAGGATTTCAAGCATGCCAAATGGGTTATACTAAGGACGTTTTTATTACGGGCCTTATAAAATGTTTAGCTAGAAATAAGTCTATAACCCATAAGTACCAATCAAGCTATAAAGCTTTCATTGAAACGCATATTATGATACTATAAGTAATAGAACATACTAATACTCTACAATATAAGATCCATGATCAGTTATTTATTATATTGCTATTAGTAGCCTAGTCCCTTGGTCTCTTCCGTTTTAGAGTCTCTTAGCTTGATGCTTTTAATTTAGTAACTCCATTGCATTTTATACCTCTTAACTTATTGTTTAATTATTTATCGTTATAATACATATATATAACGTTCTTAAGTTCTTGTTCTCCCTTACCCTACTGAAGAGCACGGAGGGAGAATATTCCTTAAGTTTGACTTCCGTCTAGGG